GTCTGCGCTTTCTGTTGTAACGACGGAGGTTTTGAGGTTGAGTAACTTCTCTTTGGTCACATTTCCGCAAGCGTCTCTTTCACCTTATAAGGTCTCCTCCTTCATAAAACTTCTTCCTGTCTGCTTCACCCCTCCCCTCCAACCACGTCCTGTGTCTCTGCTTAGTGCTCAAACCGCCAAAGCTGATTGGTCTGAAGATACGGTGACATGCAGTGAAAACAACACTGTAGTAAGTGTGATGTTGAGGCCTTTGTTGTTTGTCCTGAACATGAAAACACGGTTTCATGTGCCTGGATGGCTGCAGGAGGAAACGAGTCCTCTTTGACAAACATCATGTCAGAGCATCTTCCTCTCTGCTCCACCCTCAGCTTCACCACAGGCGTGGGTTTCTCTTGTGATGCAAAGAGCTCAGGCAGCACTGATGAAACAAAAAAGGAGAAATGAGAGAAGAAATATCTGCTCGAGTGACCCAACTTCCTCTCAGAGCCGAGGAGACGTCCTGCAGCTTCCTCTGTTTACACAGACGCACAAAAACACAGGCTGTGGTCGACAAACTGACACAAACATGCTAAAAATATGAATAAATATCAGTCAGAGATGGAACACCAGCATTATTATTGCTGTTTCTTTTCTTTAAGGCTGAAATTATTGATGAAATTCAATATTGTAGAAAGTGAATAAAAAAAGCCTAAGCCTAAGCTCGGTAGCAGAAATGTGAGCCGTAAACAAAACGTTTGGTGACCTCACTCTGATTTCTTGACTCCAGCACCTGCACTTTGACCCCACAGTTCGACCTTTAGCTGCCTGAGGTGAGCACATTTGGACGAGCAGCTCCACAGACTGAACGAAGGCACCACGCAGACTCAGGTACCTGCTCAGCAACATCCAATCAGCATCCTGTACAGAGGCGAGAGCTGCCTGCCATGTTCAACCTTTAAAAAAAAAAACAAGGTTAAAACCGGACACAGAAACTGGTTTGGTGTCCGTAGATAATTTCCTCCTTCATAACAACTGTTTAGATTCTGTTACAAATACATTCAGTCAATTTTTAAGCCTGTTTAATAGAACAAACATTTTATACTCACAGATTAGTGCGTAATTATATTGTCCATCAAACTGATGCAGTCTGAGCTAACAACAGCTAACAGCAGCTAACAGCAGCTAAAAGGTGGTAAGATTAGCTAACAGCAGCTAACAGCAGCTAACAGATGGCAAAATTAGCTAACAGCAGCTAACAGCAGCTAACAGATGGCAAAATTAGCTAACA